TAAAAATATTCAAAATTTACTTAAATTAAGTGATTTTAGTAGTGAAAAAGTAATTATTATTTTTTTTAAAAATTAAGTTCGAACATCAATCATTGTAGGGTATTTAAACGTTTATTATTAAATGATTGGAAGTATTCGAAATAAATACAACTTGAAAGCGTCTTAGATTAAAAAAATATTTAAAATTTGTTAGAAAAATAAAAAATTAATATTAAAAATTTTAAAAAAGTCAAATTTATGCATTAAAACATATAAATTAAGAAAAATTAAAAAAAATATGCGAATTTCAATGTATTCAATAATTGCACAGCTTATCATTAACTGGATCAGATTTTGACATCGATTTTGTGTGATAACGGACATATTTTTTTTAATATGATATTTAAATTATTTAAATCTTATCTTATTAATTAAGAACACGTGTTTTAATATATATTTTTGTATACAAAAGTTTAGGTGAGGGGTGACTCCCCCAGTCCAGGGTCAAGGCATACCTAAGACTCAATTGAGATTTACATAGAACTTTATAGATTATCCACCAAGAGTGATGGTGGTGGGATTCGAACCTGACCTCACAAGCTCAAATTCTTGAATCTCAACCACTTGTGCCACCAGCCACGTGTTTTAATATCTTAATAAACATAAATGCTTCTTTTGACTAAATGAAAGTGAGTGATACCTAATTAGTGTTTAGTACGCTGCATATGTTTGAAAATTAGATAAAGAAATTAATACCTAAATTTGAAAATTTAGGGTTTCTTCTATATATAATGACTACTTGGTGTTATATAAAGAAACCCAAATAATTATACAATTATCGTATTAGAATATATCCTCGTCCCGTCTCGAAAAAATAAATAATAAGATAAAGGGTAAACTATGCATTTAGTATCTAAATTGTCAATTTTAGTCCGTTTTAGTACCTATTTTTTAAAAAAAATATAATTAACGTTTAGTTTTTGTTTTATTTTAGTATCCCACAGTTAAAGAGTTAACACGTTTAGTACTTAAACTATTAGTTTTTGTCCGTTTTAGTACCTAAACTTTTAATTTTTTTAGAAATTAAACGTTAAATTTTGAACAGAGTTACTAAAATGAAACAAAAACTAAACTTTAAATATGATTTAAAAAAATTAAAAGTTTAGATACTAAAATGAACTAAAAATGATGGTTTAGGTATTAAACGCATAACTTATCTTAAGATAAATTACTTATTTAGTAATCTACTTATTATTTTATTTTTATTTTGATCAAACGTCTTTAAAAAAACTAATGACGATGTTGATATGATTATATATATATATATACCTTGAAATTTAATTTTTTTGATTATTTATTTATTTTATTGATTTTACTCCCTTGAAATGGTATTTATACTCACCTTATATATAAAAATCCGATATTAAACCTATACTGTTAATATATATATATATATATATATACTCATATTAAAAAATATTTTTAAATTCACACTGATCGAATAAATTCAAATTTTGTAACGTCATATTGGTATTATATATAAAAATCCGATATTAAACCGGTTGCTTTCGAAACTAAGTCCAAAGGTGATGGATTCCGAAAGGGATGTTAAGTATTAAGCATCGTTTCTTCTACTCAAATAATCTTCTTTTCTTTCATATATAATGGAGTATTTGAATTTACAAGTAAATAGCGATCAACCAGCAACTCAAGTCAGGTTACTTTGAACTCAAGAACCCAATAATGGTGAGGCCTTATTCCATAGGTTGAGAAGTTCTTTAACGCGTTTCATCAAACAAATTTTGTGCGCCATCCGGATATGGAAGTTTAGCCAGCCGAGAAAGAATGGTTTTTGATGTATGAGTTGGTATGAACAATAAACCAACCTACTTCTCTCATATCCCAATTTTCAACTTCTACATAGCACGAAGCTAAGGACATGTTTGTTTGATCCCCAAGGATTAAGGTTGGCAATCACATGAAACACAATCTCTGTTCATCTCGACTGTTGTTGAAGGAGAGAGGAAGAAAGAAAGTGGAGGAACGTTATGCAATTCCATATCAGTAGCAAACAAGCAGCTCGGGGTTGGTAACATATATAAAAGAATATGGGGGAGAATAGGTTTAAGCATCTTTGTGCTTGGGGCAATGTCGAGCTCGAATCGAGCTCAGAATTGAGCTTCAATCGAGTTTGAGTCTCGAGTTTTCATCGAGCTCTTAATTTTTTTTGAGTTCGAGCCTTTTCGAGTTCGAGTCGAGTTTCAATATTATATTTCGAGTTCGAGTCGAGCTTGATAATTTTAAGCTTGCGAGTTTTCGAGTCGAGTCGAGCTGACTTTGAAAGTTTTCGAGTTCGAGTCGAGATCAGCAATACTCGTGCTCAACTCGGCTCGTTTACACCCCTAGGTAGGGTCTCCAATGTTTATGTTCGTGTTCATTTATGTTCGTGTTCGTTTATGTTCGTTTATTTATTAAATGAACGAACATGAACAAGTATATTCCTTAATAAACAAACATGAACAAAAAAAAATGTTCGTTTATATTCGTGTTCGTTTATGTTCATTTATTTATTAAATGAACGAACATGAACATACCTCTGTTCGTGTGCGTTCGGTTCGTTTACAAGCCTACGAATTTAAATATAATTGTGTTCGTCTTTATTTTTGAGAGTTGTGGTCCTTATTTTACTTTTTCATTGATGGATTTTCGCTTATATTTAAAAATAAAATTTTTGATTTTTGATTTCGCAAAAATAAAATAAATACACGTCATTTCTCTATTTTTTATATTTCACTCATTGTACTTTTAATTTTAATTTACACATTGAACCTTCAAATTGCTTTTATGTTGGTCACTCTGAATTATTTTATTATTGTTTTGGTATGACGTGACATGTATTATTATTTATATGAAGATATAAAATAAAAATAGAAAGTGACCGTCCACTGTTCGTCGGCGTTGGATGCCACCGGTTATAGATGTTGGTCATTCTGTACAGATTTCAGCGGCTGATTCATCTCGACCCCTTAGTCCAAATTCGACCTTCATTTTGTCGGAATATGCTTCGAATCGACCAAATGTGAGAAAACCAAAATGCCGACTGCTGTCGACCACCGTAGATGGTGGTTGTTCGGTCCCAAATTTCATGTGCCGCTTCACCTCGACCCACTTAGTCTGAATACAACCTCTATTTTGTCGGAATATGCCTCAAAGTCCATGGATTAGAGATCGAAAGTGAGGAAAGCAAAATGTTTATGTTGATATTCATGGGCTTTGAGACATTTTTTGGTGAAACAACCACCATATTCATACTCAACTGTTAAAATCAGTCTCTCGGTACAATTTGAGATCAAACAGTTGTCGATTCCAAAAGTTGATGGTGATCGACGTTGACGAGAAGAGGCTGCAGTCATGGGGATTGTGATGAAGAAGATAAAGGGATTAAGGTTAGGGATATTATTTTATTATTTATTTTGAATTATTTTTCTATTACATAATAAAAATATCATGTCATAAAATAATAATAATAATTCAGAGTGACCAAAACATGATCAATTCGAAATTTCAGTGAATAAATTGAAAAAAATTTGAAAGTACAATAAATGAAATAGGAGAAAGAATAAATTTAAGTAACAAATGACGTAATTTACCCATGCTTAAACTAGAGTCCTTGGTGAATTTAATATTAATTTATTAATATGTAGGTAATACTTTTATTAAATTCTAGGCTTAATAAAAAATATGTGTCTAAATTATACTTAAAATTGACTTTTGATGTTTTAAATTTTTTTTGTTAAAAATATATGTATAATGTTTTTTCCGTTGTACTTTTAGGTATCTACCGTTAAGTGAAATATGTCACATTTATAATTTTTAATAAAAATATTACCTTTTTTTTTTTAATTCTAAACGTGACATGTGTCACTTAAATCCTATTTTTTAGCGATAAACACCTAAAAGTGTAATGAAGAAAAATCAGACATGTATTTTTAACGAAAAATTATTTAAACATTAAAAGTCAGTTTTAAATATAATTTAGGTACTTATTTTTATATTTTTATTAAGCTCGAGCATATATATATATATATATATATATATATATATATATATATATATATATATATATATATATATATATATATATATATATATATATAATTTGTAATTTATCTCAGCCTATCGATGTTATGTTTATAGGACATGTCGATAATGCAGAATAATGTACGTACGATTTTACGTTAGGGATAAATTTATAAAATTTTAAAAGAATATATACTTATAAAATTTTAATAGAAAAAATATATCTTCAATAAAAAATTTCAAAAAATATGTAACAATCTAAACTTTTCAAGAGAACAATCGCCCCCATCCGCCCACCCTCGGTCCATCCTTATCGATGATACACTCCGGTGCTAGACGAATGATATGTCCGATGTATGGAGATCGTCCTCATTGAGATGCCGACAAAGACTTGAAAATAACTATAAATTATTTGAAATTTAATCATCACACCCATATTACTTACAGTGTTTGAGTTCAGATATTAAAAAAATAACAACAATTTATTTATCATCGTAAGGATTAATATTTATTTTAAATAATAATTAAAGGCTGATAATTTCTTAATAGTAATACACCACAAATGTAGTATTTATCACTGTTTGAACGGAAAACTTTATTAAATAAATATGGTTAATTAATTGTAAGACTGGAATCCGTAAAACACGTGGATAAATTGTAAAAATTATATTTGGATAAATTATATATATGACTACTTAATTATTGACTTTTTCATTTTGACTACTAGTTTTACAATTATTTCAATCAGATCACTTAACTATTTAAATAGTTAGCTATTGATTGACACACTTAAATAGTTAAGTGACCTGATTGACAAAAGTTTAAAATAAGTAGTTGAAACGAAATAGAAAAACAGTTAAGTGGTCATGTGAATAGTTTACTCATGACGCTTAGGAAGATGCTGCTCGATCGAGTTTTACTCTTTAGCTCGAGCATACTCGAGTGAAGGTCTTCCTCCTGGAAACTCAGCGAAAAGCTTCTTAATAGATACTTTTTCAAAACCTAAAATGTTCATTTCTGTAGCTTTTCTTCTGGGGCCGCCATCTCTTCGCTTCTGCAGGCACAACATCCGATCGGTGAGTAAATACTTACTGATAATATATTTTGCTCTAATTTCTCAGTGGAAATTGTGTTGTCGTGTTTGTTGGTTTATTGTGTGATTTGTTTGAAATAAAGATGATTGAAGTTTGATCAATTGCAAGATCTTATCCTTGACTTGCCTCTTGTTTCTTTTATTGATGTAATTTTTCATCCATTAAATGATCTGAGTTTCCTTAGTTTAGTATATGCTACATTAATTTCTCGAGGAAATTGTGTTTTCGTGCTTGTTGGTTTACTGTGTGATTGTTTGAAAGAAAGATGATTAATGTTTGGTCAATTGCAAGCAACTCTGCTTTAATTTTTCGCTTTTGAGAGAAAGATGATTGATGTTTGGTCAATTGCAAGCAACTCTGCTTTAATTTTTCGAGCAAATTGTGCTTTGGTGTTTGGATTTTTTTTGAGAAAATTTGTTGGTTTATTGTGTGATTTTTTGAGAAAATTTGTTGGAGGAAAATATGCCAGATTTCTGCAAGATGAAGATCGATGAGGGAAGTACTTTTGAATCACGCCGGTCGTCCCGTGGCAGTGAGGACCATGCTTTACCACTGGAACTGGAGAACAATCTGCAAGATAATGTTGCAGATGAGAAAAGTGGAATGACCAGACGAAGGACATGGAAAGCTCCGAAAGGAAAAGGAAAAGGAAAATGCAGGAAGAAAGTGTGTCGAGCTGATGATGTCGACAAACCATCCGGAACTTTCCAACAGCCAGATTCTGCTATGGAGTTGGAGAGCCAGCAGCAAGCTTGTGGTATGGTTCAAGACCAGGCCAATACTAAGATGAAAAAATTGATCCCGGTACGGCCAAGGAAACGGCAATCTCCCCACGAATTACTGGAAGAAACCTTCGATGTTAATGAAGCACCTGAAGATTCCCAATCACCAGAACCAACGGGAAAAGAGAAGCATGTAAGAGTACTATTTATCATCGAGAAGAAATCCCCTCCGAAAGTACTCAAAGTTTTGAAGGATAGACTAAACCGACGGATGAAGAACGTAAATCTAATAACTGTCTCTTGTACTTCATTTCAATTGATACTTTTGCTATTAGTATCCATGCTTGTCGTTTAATTTGTATGAATCTGGTAAATGCAGGATGAATATGCAGACATGTTCAATTGTATATATATTATGAAACTTGTGATGAAACATGATTTGAAATCTCTCTCTTCAATATTTGTCGAAAAGCTTGACAAAATCGACAAGAAGTGGCCTGCTCGGCCAGACATGATCATCATTCAGAAGGATTTAGACGAGGAAACGATAACAAGAGAGTGGTATACTGCATCTGACCTGGACAGTATATTGAATGAACTGAATGATGGACAGAGTCCAACTATGTCTGACCTGGACAACATTCTGGAGAATATGGGCAAGAAACCGAGTAAGCAAGCCACATCATTTGTTAAGATGCTCCATAGATTTGAAGCAATAGAACAAAAGATCAAAGAATCAGATAAAATCCGGGCTAAGGTACCATTAGTTAGTTTCATTCTTTCTTCTATCCCCTGATTATCAATTTAATGTCTAAACCTCTATCCCTAACTTTTAAGCTTTGTTTTTAGGACCCAACAAAATTAATTGAGCTTGGACAAATCATCTGTGGTGATGAGGTATGCAAAATTCTTATAATGGATATAATTTGTTCCCTTCTAATAGAACGATTATAAATAGGACAGTGACTTCATAAAATCCAAGTTTCTCTGTTATGGTTTCAAAATCGCTTCTCACAACAACCTATGCAAGACTTACCATAGGTATAAACCATGTCTAATATATTTGAGCATTTACTATTTTTTGACCTAATTTTCGGTCTGGACATTTCTTTTATAAAAAACAACCTATTCTCATATCTTAATGCTCAAGTTGTACTTCTTGATTAGTCTCCAACCAGATAATTTGTCTGTTTCTCCGAAATTTCAGGGGGTTAGCGAGGAGACCCTAAGAGAGAAGGTATGACATTTTCTGCCTTGAACAAGTTTTGAGTGTTCGTAGGTGTCTACATATATAATGTATAAGACTTTGAGTTCTTAACTCTTCTTCCATTGTTGTTGTTTTAGATTTCTACTGTTTGTTCATCGTTATTTTTGGAAGAGAATATAACTAACAAGTTACCAAAAGACAATATCCTTGAAGAAGTCTCTGCTACAGAGGTATGAAAATTTATTTGGGATGTGAATTTGAGCAATTTTTTTTTCTTCAGATCATTGATATGCTTTTAAACATACTCTCATGTCTCAAAGCTCAAGTCATAAAGTTTTAGATTTGTTCTTGTTGATTGTTATCCATCTAGATCATTTGTTTATTTCTCTTAAATTCCAGGTGATCAAAAAGGAGTCGGTAATACATATATAATGTATTCTGCTTACTCCAAGTTATTAACTCTTCTTCCATTGTTGTTGTTCAAGCTTTTTACTGCTTCTCCAAAGCATGTTTCGGAGGACAATGCAGCATACAATATACCAGGAAATGTTGCTGAAGAATACTCGGCTGCTGTGCATGTAAATTTCTTGTCATGGATATAACGTGTTAACTTTTAATTCAATTGATATATTTAATCATTTTTAAAGGTTTTTAATATCGAACATATTTTGAATTTGAATTTGGACATTTACAGTTCATGGAACGTATTTTTAGATTATTGACATTCTTTTTATATAAAATAACCTATTCTCATGTCTCAATGCTCAAGTCATAAATTAGACTTGTCCTTGACTGCATTTTGATCACTTACTTGTTTAGGGGTCTCAATGTCAGTAATCTTAATAGTTTCATTATTACATTTTTAAACATTGGAGGAGTTTCATGTTTGTGTGTGTGTTTGGACAAAAAAACTTCGAGGAGTTTCATGTTTGTGTCTATGTATTATAACATATTAATGCTTAATTGTTCTATTGTTGTTGTTTCAGGGTTTTCAATTCCCATTGAATCTTGGGGAAGCAAATGCAACTAACGAGTCTGCTGGAAGTATGCGCAAGTACAAGGAAGATTTAGAAAAGGAACTTTTTGACGAAAGCAACTGCGACGTGAAAGTTTCGGACTTCCATGGTTTACAAGATGCAATAAACAGTTCCAAAGATTATATTCTAGATAATGTTGCAGATGAGAAAAGTGGAATGACCAGACGAAGGACACGGAAAGCTCCGAAAGGAAAAGGAAAAGGAAAAGGAAAATGCTGGAAGAAAGTGTGTCGAGCTGATGATGTCGGCAAACCATCCGGAACTTTCCAACAGCCAGATTCTGCTATGGAGTTGGAGAGCCAGCAGCAAGCTTGTGGTATGGTTCAAGACCAGGCCAATACTAAGATGAAAAAATTGATCCCGGTACGGCCAAGGAAACGGCAATCTCCCCACGAATTACTGGAAGAAACCTTCGATGTTAACGAAGCACCTGAAGATTCCCGATCACCAGAACCAACGGGAAAAGAGAAGCCTGTAAGAGTACTATTTATCATCGAGAAGAAATCCCCTCCGAAAGTACTCAAAGTTCTGAAGGATAGACTAAACCGACGGATGAAGAACGTAAATATAATAACTGTCTCTTGTACTTCATTTCAATTGATACTTTTGCTATTAGTATCCATGCTTGTCGTTTAATTTGTATGAATCTGGTAAATGCAGGATGAATATGCAGACATGTTCAATTGTATATATATTATGAAACTTGTGATGAAACATGATTTGAAATCTCTCTCTTCAATATTTGTCGAAAAGCTTGACAAAATCGACAAGAAGTGGCCTGCTCGGCCAGACATGATCATCATTCAGAAGGATTTAGAAGAGGAAACAATAACAAGAGAGTGGTTTACTGCATCTGACCTGGACAGTATATTGAATGAACTGAATGATGGACAGAGTCCAACTATGTCTGACCTGGACAACATTCTGGAGAATATGGGCAAGAAACCGAGTAAGCAAGCCACATCATTTGTTAAGATGCTCCATAGATTTGAAGCAATAGAACAAAAGATCAAAGAATCAGATAAAATCCGGGCTAAGGTACCATTAGTTAGTTTCATTCTTTCTTCTATCCCCTGATTATCAATTTAATGTCTAAACCTCTATCCCTAACTTTTAAGCTTTGTTTTTAGGACCCAACAAAATTAATTGAGCTTGGACAAATCATCTGTGGTGATGAGGTATGCAGAATTCTTATAATGGATATAATTTGTTCCCTTCTAATAGAACGATTATAAATAGGACAGTGACTTCATAAAATCCAAGTTTCTCTGTTATGGTTTCAAAATCGCTTCTCACAACAACCTATGCAAGACTTACCATAGGTATAAACCATGTCTAATATATTTGAGCATTTACTACTTTTTGACCTAATTTTCGGTCTGGACATTTCTTTTATAAAAAACAACCTATTCTCATATCTTAATGCTCAAGTTGTACTTCTTGATTAGTCTCCAACCAGATAATTTGTCTGTTTCTCCGAAATTTCAGGGGGTTAGCGAGGAGACCCTAAGAGAGAAGGTATGACATTTTCTGCCTTGAACAAGTTTTGAGTGTTCGTAGGTGTCTACATATATAATGTATAAGACTTTGAGTTCTTAACTCTTCTTCCATTGTTGTTGTTTTAGATTTCTACTGTTTGTTCATCGTTATTTTTGGAAGAGAATATAACTAACAAGTTACCAAAAGACAATATCCTTGAAGAAGTCTCTGCTACAGAGGTATGAAAATTTATTTGGGATGTGAATTTGAGCAATTTTTTTTTCTTCAGATCATTGATATGCTTTTAAACATACTCTCATGTCTCAAAGCTCAAGTCATAAAGTTTTAGATTTGTTCTTGTTGATTGTTATCCATCTAGATCATTTGTTTATTTCTCTTAAATTCCAGGTGATCAAAAAGGAGTCAGTAATACATATATAATGTATTCTGCTTACTCCAAGTTATTAACTCTTCTTCCATTGTTGTTGTTCAAGCTTTATACTGCTTCTCCAATGCATGTTTCGGAAGACAATACAGCATACAATATACCGGGAAATGTTGCTGAAGAATGCTCGGCTGCTGTGCATGTAAATTTCTTGTCATGGATATAACGTGTTAACTTTTAATTCAATTGACGTATTTAATCATTTTTAAAGGTTTTTAATATCGAACATATTTTGAATTTGACTTTGGACATTTACAATTCATGGAACGTATTTTTAGATTATTGGCATTCTTTTCATATAAAATAACCTATTCTCATGTCTCAATGCTCAAGTCATAAATTAGACTTGTCCTTGACTGCATCTTGATCACTTACTTGTTTAGGGGTCTCAATGTCAGTAATCTTAATAGTTTCATTATTACATTTTTAAACATTAGAGGAGTTTCATGTTTGTGTGTGTGTTTTGGACAAAAAAACTTCGAGGAGTTTCATGTTTGTGTATATGTATTGTAACATATTAATGCTTAATTGTTCTATTGTTGTTGTTTCAGGGTTTTCAATTCCCATTGAATCTTGGGGAAGCAAATGCAACTAACGAGTCTGCTGGAAGTATGCGCAAGTACATGAAAGATCTAAAAAAGGAACTTTTTGACAAAAGCAACATCGACGTGAAAGTTTCGGACTTCCATGGTTTACAAGATGCAATAAACAGTTCCAAAGATTATATTCCAGATCACCTGAAAGAAATTGCTGAGAAAATCGAAGACGATCGTGGCGAAAGTACTCCTAATAACGACTTTTATCGACAACTTCTAGTTCTTGTCTCTGCTGCGACTAAAGAGATGGAAGATTTGTGTGTTAATGAATTGAAGAAGCCTATATTACGTAAGTGGGCAGCTACCTTCAACCTGGCCAATCTTATGCAGTTCAAGGTCCCATATTTTGAAAGGTTATTGGTAAAAAGTATGCATGCTTACCTTAGTTATTCAACAATGAATCCTGGTTCGGAAAATTAAGTTCGAAAAGCCGAGTCTTAGCGAACACATAAACGGTCATGATTTTCAGTTTAGTTCTGTTGGATTTCTGAGTTTTATATTTGACTTCTTTAAACAGGACCTCTTAAAGCTTGTTATATTTTATCTGTTTACAACATCAGACATTGAAGGCTTGTGGATTTGTTTTTATTATTTGGATTGTTACACTTTTAATTATTAAGGTTTGCATGTTTTTAATTTTCAAATTCTAATATTATTATTATTTGGATTGTTAGACTTCTTGTTGTTGCCCTTTAAAATTATTATTATTTATTTAATAAAGAGTTAAATAGATTATATTGAATTGTTACAGCTTAAGTGAATGTAGCATCCCTAGCATTCGGTGTAAAAGATAATATTATTTCCAAATAAGAATAAAAATGTGGTATACCTTCAGTTAATCATGAGGAATTCGCCCAGAATGATACCGAATAATGAGTTCATTACAACATTTGATTTCCTTTAATCCAACGATCCCAAAAAAAAATGCGAGAATTCTGTACGGTGTAAATAAATCCTAAGCTACCAAATAACCATGGTGTGTGTGTAATAAATCAAAGAAAAGAAAATGACGAACCAGCATCTCATGCCGAGGCCGAACTCACTGTGATCACCATCGTGCATGATCGTAAATAAATAAATACATTAAACTTTACAAGCTGTCACGGTTTGTCGACGGTTTGTTATCCGAACCGGCGGCATCAGTTCCATAGTTGCCAACATGTTTTTTAGATATCATCGGTGGTGGGTTCGTAATAGGGCCATGAATCTGTCGTTTCGATCCATCACGAAACATGAACTTTCTTCCGGTTCGTAAAGAGAAAAACATCGGTCGATAAGGAATGCATACCTTGCCATGAGATTTCAACGATGCAGAATCGATAACCAGACTTTGAGATGGATCTGAAGGCCAGTGAAATAGTAGGTGTGCTATGGATCTATCTATAGGGTTTGTGCCAGTTTCCATATCCATAAACCAAGTGCACCTGGATAAACCAAAATTTAGATTTATAAACGATCCGGAACCGGAAGATGGGGTTAACCAAGAACGAAGATGACTTAACAATTAGACCACAAAACTCCATTTTATATTCAAGGTTTCATCCTAGTTCCTTCCTTGTACACCACCCACCATTAACTATCCTATATTTAGTTTAATTAGTGATATCGAGAACTTGCAGGAAATCCGTGATTCAAGTAACTAAACAAACTGATTTGTTTCATCGGCCACTGATGAACCACTTGCATCTTTATCATCTCCGATGCCACCTTTTGTTTTTGAGCAATTGTGCCTTTGTTTGGCACTCATAGCCAAACGATACGGGCTATCCCGTATGCATAGTTTTGTCCTGATATCCAACTGAAATGCCAAACATTTGACAAGATCAATACCGTTTGCATTCGCACACAACAAAAACACATGCAACTTGCACATGAGAAAACCTTTGCATCTACTTTACCTTTCCCATGACTTGTTGAAGCTGTCAAAAACTAGTTGCTTCAAGTGAGACTTCATCCAAAGGAGAAATTGCACAAGAGCTTTCCCTTGCATTTGAAGACTCTAGTTCTGCCGGATTTCCTACACTCTTACTTTCTGTTTTTGCAAGTTTGGCATTCGTAGGAGTTGGCTTTCCCCTCTTCTCACTGGTTATAATGGCAAGAGCTTCAAATGAAGGACCACGAGAACACTCCATAGACAGTACCTGATTTGATGCATAAGATGACTCGTTTTTCGAAGGAGGATGACCATTATTCTCAGATTTGGCACTAGACAGAATTGGACAGCTTGAAACTTGATCAGAAGAATTTCTGTAGCTGAGGTGCATATAAGGAATATTTGCCTGTATGTCCTTCACACGGAATCATGTCCAATGTATTGTTTGCTCCGCTGTAAGTCTGACGAGGAAAAGAGTTGACAGGATGAATTGGTAAAGGGGGCTTCACATCTGCAAGCTGCTTGATGTTACCATACTAAGCGAACCACCATTTTCCAGATATTGGCCTTTTCTTTCTACTGATGCTCTATGCTGCTTTGAATGCTTTTCTTGTCGACTGATCTGTAATTCGACAATGAAGAAAACAGAATGAAAATTCAACATGGAAACAATACATTGAGGAGAACTTATAACAAAGAATATCCCATTCTGAACCAACTCAAGAGAGGATATTGATTGTTATCTAAATCAATTATGAACAAGCACTATAAAATCAAAGTATCCAATGTTGATAGAAATTGAGTAGCATTCTCCTTCAAAGTACCACAATACTTATAGTGTAGCATTAAATTGAGAAAGAAAAAATGTGAAATTTATTGTAGCATTAAGTTCATGTTAGAAAGATAAAAGTGCCTAGAAAACTTTTGAAGGATGATAAGTTCTAGGTGATGAAAAACAAATAACTAAATATTCCTAAATAAAATATGAAATTAAGAGAGAGAGACCATGTAGAAACAAGAAAGATTTTTCTAACCTGTTTACTGGGCGTCGAGTCAGCCTTACTTTCAGATTCTTTATTGGCTACATGTAAAGAGGACATGTGAGCAAGACCAGCATTATCGCCGCTCATATTAACAGAAGTTAATTTGTCATTTTTTTGGAGGCAAATGTTGAGGAGAGAGAGAGGAGCGGCGGCAGAGAGTTTAGAGTTAGTGGTTTGAGAAAAATGAAGGAAATTAAGCATTTAAACCCAAAACCCGACGGGTGTATCGATGCACAGCAGGGTGTATCGATGCACATTCAAGGCGTGCATCGGTGCACCTTCATGGTGAATTGATGCACATTCAAGGAATGGATCGATGTACTGGGTAGTGTATCGATGCATTAAGCACAAAACTGTAAAACATCTGTTTTAAACACTTAAAAATGCTAAATTAATTAATTAGCTCTAGTGGTATTGGTAACTCTTCCCGAATCGACTCAAGAGGCGATTAAACCTTCGAATGAGTGAGGCTCTGATACCAATTGTTTAGTTAATCGATCGACGAATATAACCAAGAGGGGTGAATTGGCAATTAAAAAATTTTGGTTGAAGCATTTGCAGAAAATTGAAAATATTTACACAGCGATTTAGAGTGGTTCGACTTTCTCAACCAAAGTCTATGTCTACTACCTTAGCTATCCACCCTAAGGATTTTTCACAAATTCACTAATTTGTCTTTCTTTTGAGGACAAAGAGTAACCTTACAAATACCTCAAGAATTATACCCCAAATTCTTGAGAACACTCTCTCCCAAAGAGAACGATACAAATTTTGCAAACTTACAAGAAAATCCTCACAAGGCAAGATGTTTGCACAATTCTAGAACAAAGAAAGAACACTCAAGAATAATACAATTGAGCACAATAGGTGTTCTTGAAAGCAAAAATGAATATTGAATGAAATAGGCTTTAAGATGCTCAAACTTGAGGTTTGATGTTTTCTCTTTGATTCTCTCTTGATTCTTGTTTCTTATTTTTTATCAATGACTTCTAAGCTTGTTTAAATACTCCTTGGATCACTTTTGAACATTGGGGATCATTAGTGGAGTCAATAGAGTCGTTAGTATGTGAAAACAATTAATAAAATCAGTTGGGAGAGTGTGTGCATCGATGCATAGTCAAGGTTCATCGATGCATTAAGTGTAGAATTCAAATATTTCGACCGTTGAAAGACATAGTGCATCGATACACTACGGGTGCATCGATGCATAAAATGCATTCGATGTTTCAAACAAGCCTAGAGTGCACCGATGCATGGTCTATGCATCGATGCATTGTTGTGCATCGGTGCATAAAATGCATTCGAAATGGGGTGTGCATCGATGCATCAGTGAGTGCATCGGTACATCCCTTTGTTAAATTTAATTTTGGCTCGTTTTTTGTTCGAAATACTTTATGAAAATTGTTTCAAAAATATTTTAAGTATAAAACACAATTTTACACTTCAGTAAGGATTGAAATTTAACTTTGAAAGACTTGGAGTAATATTTTGATATTCGAATAATTATATCGAACATACTTAGAAAATCTTTTGTAAAATCTTAAAATTCATTTAACTTAATTTGTTATATCGAAACATCAAAATGTTTTTAACAATATTGGACTTAGTCACTTGGGTTGCTCATTCTCTCTTTGAACTGACTAGGCTGCTAACTCATTTTGGCCTGCTAACTAGGGATGGCAATGGGTCGGGTCGGGTCGGGTTTTTGGGCCACCCGACCCGACCCGAGAAGAAAGGGTTTTTCACCCGTGACCCGACCCGACCCGACGAAATTAAGGTTTCACCCGACCCGACCCGAATATATGACTTAGAAACTCGACCCGACCCGACCCGAAATAAAAAAAAAATTATTCAATGAAAACAGTGACTTAATTGAAAAAAATTATATATGGAGGGACATTATTGTAATTATCCCTAAATATATAGGATAAAATTATATATATTTTTCGGATCGGATCGGGTCGGAACCCGTCGGATTCGGGTTGAGTTGCCATCCCTACTGCTAACTCTTCCTGGATCGGTACCAGCCTGCTCCATCACCTCCTGACCCGTGTACATGCTGCTCATTTCATCAGGTAACATCATTCACCCCTCTTGCTAAAATCCCTAATTCCCCATTTTCATTTTCCTCTCGCACCTCAATCCCTAATATTTCATTTTCATTTCTCTCTCACCCTTCAATCCCTGATTCCCCATTTTCCTCTTTGTTTCCATGCTCATCTCCTCCGACTGTGACAATACCCGCCGCTAGAGAAGATCCTTGTCCCCAAGGATCAAAATTTGAAAATTATCCTCGAAGCACAGAATAATCCTCCCATGTATCGTTTGTCGCATCCTGGTTAGCCCATCGAACCAATAACTGAGTTATCGGTTTGTTCTGTTGATTCACTATTCTTCTGCCCAAAATCTGAACTGGTTCAACCTTGAACTGATCTTATTCGTCCATTACAAGAGAATCTATTGAAGACGATACAACTGCTCCAATGTGTTTCTTCAATAAACTAATATGAAAAACCGGGTGTATGCGCGAGTTCTCAGGTAAGTCCAGTTTATATGCTACCTCTCCAATTCGTTCAATAATCTTGTAAGGTCCATAAAATTGTGCTGCTAATTTTAAATTTTTTCGTAGGGCAAGGGAGGTTTGTCTGTAGGGCTGCAATTTCAGGTAAACTAAATCTCCCACTTGAAAGGTTCTCTCTAACCTATGTTTGTCTGCTTTC